CCAATATGTATCATATATAAGAATTGCATGTGTTTGAAATTTGCGCCACAAATGTGAGCAACTGTTGTGTGTCTTTGTCTCATGTCTATCATATGTATCATGTGCAATATGTACCATGTATAACAAATGTATGTGTCTGACATTTATCCCAAAAATGTGACTACCTCTTGTGTGTCTTTGTCTCATGAGTATCATATGTAGCATGTGTAAGATGTATCATATATAACAAATGCATGTGTATGAAATATGCCCCAAAAATGTGACCAACTGTTGTGTGTCTTTGTCTCATGTCTATCATGTGTATCATGTGCAATATGTCTCATATATAACAAATGCATGTGTCTGAAGGGTGCCCCAAAAAGGAGACCAACTGTTTTCTTTGTTTCATGTCTACCATATGTATCATGTGCTATACACATATAACAAACGCATGTGTATGAAATTTGCCCAAAAAATATGATCAACTGTTGTGTGTCTTTGTTTCATGTGTCATGTCTATCATATGTATCATGTGCAATATGATTCATACATGCCAAATGCATGTGTTTGAAATTATTGGTCACCTGCTTGGACACATGACTCCTGCTGTATTCCTGCAGGGAGCCCAGATGGCAGTATTCCATGATTTGTTTTGCGAGTTTGTCTCATGTTGGTCACATGTATCATGTACCCCATGTATCACATATAACAACTCGATGTGTGCCACAAACTGTCCCAACAATGTGACCAACTCTTCTGCGAGTTTGTCTCATGAGTATCAGACGCATCGTGTACCATATGTATCATGTCACTACAGTGAGCTTACATAAAGAACAGTGTCCAGGTACTTCATCGTTTACGAGTGGTGTATGAAGACCGAGTACCAGGGCCGTGGCACCCCGCACTGGCACATCTGCGCGTGGGTTGTATGCTTTGGGCTGTTGCAGAATCTCCAAGGGCGCACTGGTACGGCTGTCGTGTCGGCATTCGTCAAGTTCCTCTCGCTGGTATTCTGCGCCGAGATAGATGTTCAGATAGGCAACGGCCGTTTGAACTACATCTCCGGGTATGTGGCGAAGGACCATGATGCCGTCGACGTGGGGCTCGGCGAGTATGTGCAGAAGAGTGCAAACAGCTCCTGGCTGACCGCGTATCGCTTGCTCAGCAAGAGCAGCCCGTGCTTGCCGGAAGTGGCGATCCGTATGGCGCAACTGTCGGAATTTGAGCGGTCCTACTCCCATGTTTTGCTGTATCCACCGCAGCCTGCAGCCATGCTGAATTATGACGGGCGGCAAGGTAACTTTTCCTCGAGGATGTATGGTTTTTATCTTCAGGAGAAGAGGGAGCAGCTGGTCGCAGGGACTCCCGTATCGGAGAGTTTCTTGGCATGGCACCGTGGCAGGGAGCATGACACCTCGAACCACTGCGCACAGTTCCGTGGCGGCAGACATCAGCAAAGGTATGCATCCACGCAAGTGGTCGCCTGCAGGTACTGGTACGAGCTGACCGACGGTTATTGGGGCCAGCATTCACTGACTGTGCTGCCACATGTATACGCTGCACAATTACTCCCTCGGACGTTCAAACACCTGGACAGTATGAAGAACTTCGTGGGCATGATCGATCTCATGTCCTGGAAGTGGTCCGACACTGCTGGTATCGTGGAGACGTCGTGTGAACTGAAATTCCATAATCATGCGCTGCCGATGCGAGTGGGTGAGGACGGCCAGATACTATCATTCGGCTCGGAGTATACTGCTGGAGGGTCTGTATTTGCCAATGATAGGGCAGCATTCGAGTACCTGCTCTCGCTGGCCCGACGCGATCTGCAATTTCGAGGTATGCGCGATGAGCGTGTCGGCTGCTTCGAGCAGAAGCAACACGCGAATTTTCTGCTGTATATGCGTGTTGCTCAATGCGATAACGAGCCAGAGTACGAGTGCCTCCGGCAGGCGTGGGATATCTTGAATAGGCCGAAGTATCAGCAGCGCACCTGGAGTCCAGAGCAGGCTGACGCCATCGAACGGGCCAAGAAGGGTGTATCGCTGGAGGACGAGGAGGAGAAGCAGAACAGTAAGCGTTTCTTGTATATCAGTGGACCACCAGGCAGTGGGAAGACGGCAGTTTTGCTGGAGCTGGCCATTTGGGCATGTGAGTCTGTTCAGGTTTTGATCGTGTGCCCCACCGGGTATCTCGTGCACCAGTACAAGTCCAAGCTGCCAGACAGACCTGGTATTGAGAACATCCGAGTGGATACCATACAAGGAGTCCTGAAGTATAAGAGGGCCGGGAAGGACGGGAAGGTCCGCTGGGCCCCACCCTCGGCTTTGAGAGGTATTGATTTGATTCTTTGCGATGAAGGCAGCCAGTATGAAGATCAGGAATGGATGCGTTTTTTCGCCGCGGTGCGGGAGCAGCCGCATAAACCCTTCACTGGTATCGTGGCCGATTTTACGCAGTTGCAGCCAGTATTGAGCGGGGGGCAATGCGAGCACTTCTGCAACCAAATGGACAAGGTTGACTTGAAGACAGTGTATCGCACCGCAGACCAGCAGCACCTGGTTTTCCTGAACCGCATACGCGAGGCTCAGCCAGATCGAGTGTGTTTGACAGAGTATTTTGGCGACCGGCACTGGCAGCATGAGTCCTTGGAGGCTTGTGTTGAGCGCGGTATGGCGTTGGCGGCGGAGAAAGGACATCCGTTTTCTTGGCTGACGTGTACGAACGCAGGCTCGGCAGAGGTATGCAGAGCGGCTCTGGCATTACTCGGCATTAGTGAGGCCGATCTGCAAAAGGGTGGGTATTCCGATCCCACCACGAAGTCCAACTTACGCATTTTGGCCAGACCTGGTATCGTGATTCGCCTCAGTCGGAACTTTGACAAACAGCGAGGCTTTGTCAATGGGGCGTTGGCCACGGTATGCGAGTCGCTTCGTGGAAACTCTGTGTTTACAGCCAGGCTGGTGGGCACGGGCAACATGGTATTGGTGCACCCCATCGAGGAGAATGGGGAGATCTTCCTGCCCTGCTGCTACGGGTATGCGACCACGGTGCGTCGAGCGCAGGGTGCGGATCTCTTTCGCGGCTGTATTTACTTCGAGCAGAAGAAGAGAGTGGCTACGAGAGGGTATGGCTACGTTGCCTGCAGTCGCTTTAAGTCCCGCGAGGGCTGCTATGTATTCGGCAAGCTCCGCCGCAGTGACTTCCTCCCGGCTGGGCCTGAGAAGGCCGGCGAGATTCTGGAGCGTGGCCATGACTCGGTATCGTCATCTGACGACGAGGGGAAAGGCCTGGGGTATGCCTGTGCAGATCAAGGGGAGTATGACGCGGACCCTGTTCTGTCCATGGATATGGGCAACAATCTCTTGGACTTCCTCGTGAGCACAGAGGATGCGGCATATGTATCCAAGACCGAGTGCCAACGTATCCTGGCAGAGTTTGCTGCAGGTGCCAGTGCGGAGGCTGCCGATGCGCCAGTGTATGAAGAGCTTCCAGTGAGGGAGGAAGTGCGGGGCGAGAACGGTGAGCTGCTCGTATACGGCGGCACGGCAACGCCGGAATGATCTATGACGTATGGTGCCGGACGTTGAAAAAAAAAAACGTACACACGCGCATGTGTTCATGTCGGCCTAGTACCATATCTTTTGTACGTATCATGGCCCGGATGTATCACGTGTATCGAGTATCATGTGTTCGGCAACAACTACACCATGTGCTCCATACGTACCGCGTGTATCCTTTCCTGTGAGCATATGTGTCATTCATTATGTGCATGCGTTGCGTTTGTCTATTCTTGTGACTTTGTCTCATGTCAATCATATTAACATGTGCAACATGTATCATATATAACAAATGCATGTGTTTGAAATTTGCCCCAAAAATGTGTTGTGTGTCTTCGTCTCATGTTTGTCTTATCATGTGCAATATGTATCATATACAACAAATAATGTGTCTGAAATTTTCTCCAAAAATGTGACCAACTGTTGTGTGTCTTTGTCTGATGTCTTTTTTTTTTCTTCATGTGCAATATGTATCATATACAACAAATGCCTGTGTCTGAGGGAAAACATGTTCGTATATGTGTCCAAGAGGGCCCCAAGAGCGCCCCCAAGGCTCCCAAGAGCGCCCCAAGAGGGCCTGAAGAGGCCCCCAGGAGGTCCCAAGAGGCGCCAAACAGGCGCCCAAGAGGCGGCCAAGAGATCCCCAAGAAGCTCCAAGGGGCTCCCCGGGGCACCCAGGATGCTCCACGAGGCCCCCGGGTCACGCGAGGAGGCCCCCAAGACGACCCAAGAGGCTTCTACTTGCCCAAGATACATCCGAGTAGACTCCGAGAGGCATTCTCGAGGCCTCTGGCTCTTCTGATACCTCCTCCTCCTCCACCTCCCTTCCTCAGCCTTCTCCTCATCCTCCTTCTCCCTCCTTCCCCTCTCATCACCATCACCAACACCATCATCACCATCGCCATCACCATCAGCACCATCAGGAAACATCCACCATCACCAACACCACCATCACCATCATCATCATCATCATCACCATCGCCACCAATCATCACCATCACGAAACAACAACAACAACGACGACTTGTCTCTGTGTGTTGTTCATAGGCACTTTGGCTCAAGAGGGGGTTATTCTTGGCCACGTATTGCCTTGGCATGGACTCCGCAGGGTATTTTTTCTTGTTCTCCTTTGTATTACTGCGTTTCACCAGAGGTCAGGCAGGAGTGCCGGTCGTATGTGACTACCTTTTGGATCAATGGAGTGTATTCGTCGAGAACTTCGATTCATTTTGTTGTGGACTCGTGCGGCACTGCGAGGCAGTATGCAAAGAGAGGGGATGCTCGTATTTGGCCCATCGGGAAGGTTTGCACATTGCGTATTCTGGTTTGAACTTCATTCGCACTCTTCGCAGGGCTCGCATACGACGGCGCCTTGTTGCATTTGCGGAGAAGTGGGCGCACGTAGTATCGGGGCTTCAGCGTCCCCGTGTGGTGGGCGTCTCGGTCGCGAGCGCTGACATCATGGCCATCGGGGACAGTATCCCGGACTATGTGGCCGTGGCTGTTCAGAAGAACCAGGTGAAGATGGCAGGTAGGTATAACAGCATGGACTGTATGCGGTGTTTTATGCACATGCTTGAGTTTTGCATGGGCTGCACGCCAACGGAGTATACCGAGGAGCTGCATCAGTGGTTTCTGAAGCGGCAGTGTCGGAAGTATGGACGCGATGCTGCGGCGGAGCTCGCGTATTTTGGCGTGGTGTCCTGCGACAGTATGACCACGGCATTGGGTCGTATGAGGAAGGCTCTAAACACCACGTCTCAAGTGAGTGCCGCGACCATGTATGTATTGTTCTGCGAGACGCGGCAGGCTATCAATAGGTATTCGCTGCATGGTCTTTGGTACCTCATTGAGCTGCATGACAAGAGGAAGTCTGTGCGGGCAAATGTTTCGCGTGTCCGACATGGGCTAGCATACAGTGTATCCACGCGTTCTCACACAATTCAGGTTTTGGAGGAGATCCGCAGCTGTGTGGGTGTATCACTCGCTGTGCTGCGGAAGTTACCCTCCAAACGCGCTGGCGGACCTTTGGAGGTGGCGTTTCAGTTGGGTCGCCGCCGTTTGTGTCCCAAGGTTGAATTGGACGGTATTCCAGAGTTCCGTGTGCTCGCGAGTTGTCTGAGCGTTGTGACTCAGAAGGTCCAGCACACACAGCAGTATCGCGGCTTGGTCAAGGCCGCGAAGGGTCTGGGTATCAAGTGCGCGAAGTCGTATACTAAGAAGAAGCTCGCGGCGCTGGTGCAGCGCGGTATGCAGAAGCCTGCAGGCGCGGGGGCGCGGAAGAGGAGTTACGAGGAGCTGGTATCCGCAGTGCGCGCTCGCGGCGGCTCCGAGTATGAAAGAATGAAAATGCAGGGAAGGTGGATCACCAGACGATTATCCAAAGTCAAGTTGGAAGCGTTGCTGGCTGAACCCCGAGGGCGGTGTTCATTTGTATAGTTGCATGTTGTCTGACACAGTGGTCGACCAGAACAGTATGAAAGAAGAGCATACAGCAGCAATGACATACACATATACATACAAAAACACATGTAAACATACTAGTTCGACGCGCATAGCCATTCTTTACGCATAGACCTTACCTACACAGTCACATGCACATACACATGCGTACGTCGAGACATGCACTGAGAGTTACATATCGTCGTATGCATGTGTTTGAAATTTGCCCCAAAAATGTGACCAACAGTTGTGTGTCTTTGTCTCATGTCTATCATATGTTTCATGTGCACTATGTATCATATATACCAAATGCATTCCGAAATTTGCACCAAAAATGTGATCAACTGTTGTGTGTCTTTGTCTCCGGTCTATCATATGTATCATGTGCAATATGAATCATGCATAACAGAAGCATGTGTATGAAATCCCCACAAACCTGACCCACTGTTGTGTGTCTTTGTGTCATGTCTATCATATCATGTGCAATATGTATCATATTTAACAAGTGCATGTGTCCGAAATTTGTTCAAAAATGTGACCACTTGTTGTGTGTCTCTGTCTTATGTCTATCATATCATGTGCAACATGTATCATACATGATAAAACCAGCAGTCCGAAATTTGCACCAAAAATGTGACCAACTGTTGTGTGTATTTGTCTCAGGTCTATCACATGTACATGTGCAATATGTATCATATATAACGAAGGCATGTGTCCGACGTTTCCTCAAACATGTGACCAACTGTTGCGTGTCTTTGCCTCATGTCTATCATATGTATCATGTGCAATATGTATAATATATAACATAGGCATGTGTCCGAAATTTGCACCAAAAATTTGATTAACTGTGGAGTGTCTTTGTCTCATGTCTATCATGTGTATCATGTGCAATATGTATCATATATAACAAATGCATGTGTCTGAAATTTGCCCCAAACATGTGACCAACTGTTGTGTGTCTTCGTATCATGTCTATCTTTTCATGTGCAATATGTATCAATTGTATCATGTGCCAATATGTTGACTAATCTGCTGGTGAGTTTGAGTTGTCTTATCAGTGTGAGAACCCCGTTTTGAAACAGGAGCCGCCCTCAACCTCATCCTCCCTCTCTGCTCCCCCCCAGCCCCTAGAGGCCTCGGGCCCCGCCTCTCACGGCGCCCCCCCTTGGGCCCCTCCAGTGCGCCCCATCGGGAACTCAAGCGAGAACACCGTTTTGAAACAAGAGCCGCCCTCAACCTCATCCTCTGTGCCCTCTCTGGCCCCCCCCAGCCCCTCGAGGCCTCGGGCCCCGCCTCTCACGGCGCCTCCCCTTGGGTCCCTCCAGAGCGCCCCATCGGGAACTCAAGCGAGAACCTTGTTTTGAAACAGGAGCCGCCCTCAACCTTATCCTCGCCTCTCTGGCCCCCCCCGGCCCCCAGAGGCCTCGGGCCCCGCCTCTCACGGCGCCTCCTCGTGGGTCCCTCCAGAGCGCCCCATCGGGAACTCAAGCGAGAACCCCGTTTTGAAACAGGAGCCGCCCTCGACCTCATCATCCTCCTCTCTGGTCCCCCCCAGCCCCCAGAGGCCTCGGGCCCCGCCTCTCACGGCGCCTCCCCTTGGGCCCCTCCAGAGCGCCTCATCGGGAACTCCCTTTTTGAAACAGGAGCCGCCCTCAACCTCACCTGCTTGTGAGATTGAGTTGTCTGATCAGTTTGACACATGTATGTGCTTCGTTTCCGTTCGTATGGACTTTGGCACTTTCCCACAGCATCATTCGTTTGCCTTAGCCATTGGGGCTCCAGTCGTATTTCGCTTTTCGCATCTCTTTCCATATGCACGCGCGCGTCCGTATTGTTGGCAATGGCAGGGCAGTGGGACGAACAGACTGGGGAGTATACCCCATCCAACGAGGAGGTGGCCGAGTGTATGAGGCGCTGGTCTATGTCACCCGGCGGGGACGGGTTGGTATTCCACTGGCTCAAGGCTCAGGAGAGACAAAAGTACCACTACCATCAGCTAGGGGGGTGGCCGCTCCATCTTCGAGCTGGTGGCTCCTTCCGGGTATGCCTCCAGAGAGTGCCCGGAACGAGGTGCCACCAGCTCGAGGGGAAGGCGCGGCCGCCCCCTTAGCTGGTGGTAGTGGTACTTTTGTCTCTCCTGAAAGGTGCTGCGCGAGGCCACGCGGTTGGCGACTGCAGTGTATTTTCCGTGTATGTGGCAGGGACTCACGGGTGTATGCCTCTGCCTCTCGACGCCGGAGAGTACGCGCCAGTCCAAGGAGAACGGCATGGTCGAGAACCAGCGCCGTATGGGAGGCATCGAGACCCCAGAGTGGATGGCGTTCGCTGTATATTTCTACCCTGGCTTGGTATTCGGCAACTTTTCTGGTTTCAAAGATCCAGCCGCGCAGTATCTGGGCACACTTTCGGAAGTATTCCATCGGCTGTGCACCCAAGCTGGTATAGCGAACTGGAGATCGCACGTATTCGTCCGGCACGGCGGCTGGGTGTATGCTGGCTTGCGCAGGCTGTTGCAGCTCCTGTGTATTCACGTGCATTCCGAGGTGGTATCAGGTCTGTCATACAGGCGCATGGCGAGCCTGGATGTATTTGTGGCAACACACACGGGATCCATGGGTATGGAGCCGCCATCTATGGCTCTGTGGAATGCCTCCCACGACGTCAAGGATGGTATCACCTTGTTCCCGAAGCAGGACCATTGGTGGCACATGCCAGTATGGCGTTCTTTCGGGCAGTCCGAGTATGGGAATGTCATGGATTACCGTGTGGATCTGGGTATGCCGGCGCATGTCCAGGGTGTCCTGGCGGTATTGGCGCCCCACGGACGCGCGGGCGATGTATCCGCGAGGAGGCGCATCGGCACCATGCTGGGACACTTGGCCCCTGATGTATGCGTGCCAGGAGCGCAGCTTGCAGTATTGCGCCCGATGCGTGCCATTAGGGACAGGCGTATGCCAGAAGACGATGAGCACAAAGACTCGTCTCTTTAGTATGCTTCCAGAGCACGTATGTGTCCAGAGCCGCCGCGCCTTGTCCTGCTCCTCCTCCTCCTCCTCCTCCTCCGGCGGGGGGCGTGAGGATCCGGCATCGCTGACATGGGACAACCATCGGGACCACCATCGGAACAACCATCGGGACAACCATGGGGACAACCATCGGGACAACGATCGGGACAACCACAACCATCAGGACAACCATCGGGGCAACCATCGGGACAACCATCGGGACAACGATCGGGACAACCATCGGGACAACCATCGGGAGAACCATCGGAACAACCATCGGGACAATCATCGGGACAACCATCGCGACAACCATCGGGACAACCACAACCATCAGGACCTCCAACCAGAGAGAGGTAGCCACATGTATTTCCGACACGAATGAGCCAGTATTGCACATTGAGGCCGGAACGACAACCACAGAACAAGAATGAGCATATAACAACAACGGTTGTCCTGCGGTATGCTGGCGCCACGCACGTGGTACCACTCAAAATAATATTTGCTTGTGTGGTACAGAAACAGAAAAACGTCGGAAAACGGTACAGGTGTCCAGTGTTGGAACAGGGGGATAAGTCGTATACTAAGCTAGCTTCCACAAAATGTTACCACGACAAGTCATTGTACCCATGCGTCAGTGTAGTAGCCAAGGTCGTCCGCAGGCCACGAAGTGAAGTGTCCGAACGTCATAGGGCGGGGAGCTGGGTGTGGGTGGTGGCGAAGAGTCGTTTGGAAACTTGGTAGAGCTTGAACCGGCCCCCCCACAAAGTGGGGGCATTGCCCGCCTCCTATGAAAACCCTGGCACTGGTGAGAACGGAGTGTCCCCAGTCTTACATGATTGTTGTTGTTGTTGTTGAATATTATTACTTCTAAAGAATAATTATTGTTGGGCCCCCTGGTGCACGCCCCCCTCGCCGCGCCTAGGCCGCAGCCACATTTTCATCGTTTTCGTGAGGAAGTCTTAGGCAAAACGGGGGAGTCCGGATCCGGTTGTTTTGTTGACGCCCGCTTTCCCTGTCAAAAAACAATATAAAATGACATGTCTTGTTCTAACATAGCCAAACTTCAAGAATCCTTTGGAAAAAAATGACACGAAGTGCACATTCGCGCGCGCAAGATGAAATCCTTCCAGAACCTTAGTTTTCGTAGCGATTTTAACATAAAAACATGAAAAACCCAATGGTTTTCAACAAAAAAACTTCAAACATTCATCCCGCGCGCTCTTGCGGATTTCTTAGGAAACCCAATACTTTATTAACATTTCTGTCAAACGGGCTTTTGCGAACAACTTTTTCGAACTTCTGCAACAACGGTTGCGCACCTGCCAGGGCCATCATCCCTGTCAAATAATACCATGCGGGACACATTCGTTTTTTCTTCGCGCGCGCACGCCGTCGTCGTCGGCCGCGGGGCCCTGAATAGTAGCCACGGTCGTCCGCATGCCACGAAGTGAAGTGTCCGAACGTCATAGGGCGGGAAGCTGGGTGTGGGTGGTGGCGAAGAGTCGTTTGGAAATTTGGTAGAGCTTGAACCGGCCCCCCCACAAAGTGGGGGTATTGCCCGCCTCCTATGAAAACCCTGGCACTGGTGAGAACGGAGTGTCCCCACGTGCTAGTAATTGTTGTCGTTGTTGTTGTTGTTGTTGCTGTGTGTGTTGTTGTTGTGGTTGTTGGTATTGGTGCTGTTGGTGGTGCGAAGAATAATTATTGTTGATCCCCCCGCCTGGTGCACATTGTATGTTTCTATTGAAGTGCCCCTGCAGGGGCTCGCACCCTATTTTTTATCAGGGAAGGTCTTGAGGCTCAAACTGTGTTGTTGGCCCCCGGTTTACAACAACAGCAACAACAACGGCTCCCGCCTGATTCTTCCTCACAATGTATTGAAGAATCGCGCTCCCGCCCGAGACCTCCTCGCATTTTATTCAGGAATCGCGCTCTCGTTTGGGACGTCCTTACGACTTACTCAAGGCATCGCTCTTTCGGCGCTCTGGAGTCGCGCTTTCGCTGGAGATTGCTTGCAATTTACTCAAGAATAGCGCCCTCGCGTTGGAATTTCCCGCAATCTACTCAAGCGCCGCGCTCCCGACACTCAGGCACCCAGGAGTCGCGCTCACGCTTGGGACTCCCTCACAGATAATTAGCAATCTGGATCGCTCTGCCCTTCGTGGCCCCGTCGCAGCCCTTGGTGGCCTCCTCGCTGCCCTTCGTGGACCCGTTGCAGCCCTTCGTGGCCCCTTCGCTACCCCTTTGCAGCCCTTCGTGGCCCCCTCGCTTTGTTTCGAGGCCCCGTTGCAGCCCGTCGTGGCCCCCTCGCTGCCCTTCGTGGCCCCGTTGCAGCCCCTCGTGGCCCCCTCGCTGCCCTTCGCGGCCCCCTCGCACCCCTTCGTGGCCCCCTCGCTGCCCTTCGTGGCCACGTTGCAGCCCTACGTGGCCCCCTCGCTGCCGTTCGTGGTCCCCTCGCTGCCCTTCGTGGTCCCGTTGCTGCCCTCAGTGGCCCCGTCCTTGCCCTCCGCGGCCCAATGTACATATGCCCTTCGTGGCCCCCGCTCGTTCGCACCCGTCGTGGCCCCATGTGCATGCCCTTCGTGGCCCCGCTGTCGCCTTTTGCGCCCCCCTCGCTGTTCTGCGTGGCCCAGTTGCTACCCTCAGTGGCCCCGTCGTTGCCTTCTGTGGCCCCGCATTATCTGCCCTTCTTGGCCCCCGCTCGTTCGCGCCCGTCGTGGCCCCATGCGCATTCACTTCGTGTCCGCTGTCGCCATTCGTGGCCTACTTCGTGCCCTTCGTGGCCCTGCTGTCGTTCTCTCTCTCGCTCTCGCTTTCGCTCGTCGTCGTCGTCGTCGTCGTCGTCGCCGTCGTCGTCGTCGACGTCGTCGTCGTCGCGGTCGGTCCCCTGTCCGTCCCCCTTGGGGTCGGGCTGCTGCTGATCAGCGCTGCCGCTGGTCAGGCCGACGGTCCGCGGCCGCCCCGCCGTTTGCCAGGGCCCAGCCTGGGAAGAAAGGTATACCCCCCAAAAGGGGTACGACCGAAGACGAAAAGGGCGGGCATCGAGGGTTTGGGAAATACGCAGTAACGGACACTCGAGCAGATACGAGCGAACAGGATTAAACTTATTGGTGTTGTTGCCGCTGTTTGGTGCTGCTGCTGATGATGATTCGGATGCTGATGGTGATGATGCAGATGATGGTGCTGATGATGGTGATGGTGATGGTGATGCGGATGATGCCGCGGATGATGATGATGATGATGATGATGATGATGATGATGATGATGATGATGATGATGATGATGATGATGAGGATGAGGATGAGGATGAGGATGAGGATGAGGATGATGATGATGATGATGATGCTGTGATGATGCGATGTTGATGCTGATGATGCTGCTGATGATGATGATGGTGACGGTGATGTTTATGAGGTTGCTGATGATGATGCTGATGATGCTGATGCTGCTGGTGGTGATGGTGATTATGATGATGCTGATGCTGAGATGATGATGATGATGATGATGATGGTGATGATGATGATGGCTATGATGATGCTGATGCTGATGCTGATGATGCTGATGCTGATGATGACGATGCTGATGATGATGATGATGATGATGATGATGATGATGATGATGATGCTGATGATGATGATGATGATGATGATGATGATGATGCTGATGATGATGATGATGATGATGATGATGATGATGATGATGATGATGATGATGATGATGATGATGCTGGTGATGCTGATGACGATGATGCTGCTGCTGCTGCTGGTGGTGGTGATGATGATGATGAGGATGAGGAGGAGGAGGAGGAGGAGGAGGAGAAGGAGGAGAAGAAGGGCAAGGAGGGGGGTGAGGGCGAGAGGAGGAGGAGGAGGAGGTGGATGAGGAGGAGGAGGAGGAGGAGAAGGAGGAGGAGGAGGGGGGAGCAGGAGGAGGAGGAGGAGGAGGAGGAGGGAGGAGGGAGGAGGAGGGAGGAGGAGGAGGAGGTGGAGGAGGAGGAGGAGGAGGAGGAGGAGGAGGAGGAGAGAGGACGAGAGAAGGAGGAGGATAATGAGGATGAGGGCGAGGAGAGGAGAGGAGAGGAGGGGGGAAGAGGATTGGGGGGAGGAAGGGGGGGGACGCAGCGGCCAGGGGGGACGGAGGACTGCGAGGGGGGTGGGGGGGGACGCAGCGGCCAGCAGGAGCACCCGAGAGCAAGTGCTCCTGACCGCCGCCGCCGTCGCCGTCGCCGTCGCCGGCGCCGTCGTCGTGTTCCTCCTCCTCGCCATCATCCTCATCGTCCTCCTTCTCCTCCTCCCTCCTCCCTCCTCCTCCTCTCCCCCTCCTCCCATCCTCCTCCTCCCCCTCCTCCTCCTCCTCCTCCTCCTCCTCCTCCTCCTCCTCCTCCTCCTCGCGAAAGAAGAAAGGCACGAACATGTATTTTCGGAGCTCCGCGCGGACCTCTTGAGTCTGCGCTGGGCCCCCGTGGCCGCGCCTCCAGCTCCGCCTCCTGGCGAGTTCCGCACGCCGGGGAGGCTAGCCCAGCGCCGATGCAAGCAATTTGTGTGGAGCCCCGAAATGTCATCAGGAGGGGGAAAAAAACACAGACACAATTCATCGCCCATCCCCAGAAAAGATGGAACATATGGGCAGTGGGGGGGAAGACGAAAAACCAGAAAATATGACAAAAGATGGTTAATCCTGTTATTTGTGTATATTTATTTGTGCTTCCCCAGGGCCCCTTCATGTTATGTGTATGCACTTGTCTGTTCCTCCGGCTCCTTCTCCTCCTCTCCTTGAGCGTCCATCGAACCACTTACGCATCTGTGAAGTTGCACACCCTGCGCCCCCGGCGCCCACCTGGACGCTGTGGTGCTCTCCAGCACCCCGTATGTCGAGAGGGTGTGGCGCGGTTTGGTGAGTCATTTGGTGTGTCATTTTGTGCCCCCCTCTTGCTTCCACACGCTCGAGGATCTAGCACCTAGCATCTCTTCGCTTCACTGAACAGCTGTTCTCTGGGTATGAGACGTGTCGTTCCTGAATGCATGTGTCCTTGCTTCGCATCACTGGGCAGCCTTCTCCCTGTGGGCGAAACGCACCAGTCTGAACAAGCCCCAGATCCATTGGCGCAGGGATCATCAGAAGAACAATGAAGAGCCTGCATCCTCCTCCTCGTCCTCCTCATCGCCCCAGCGGCGCCCAGAGGTGAAGGAGATCTTTCAGAAGGCACCCCGCTTCTTGGAGGACCTCCTGCCTGTCGAGAGGTCTTCTCAGAAGCCTCCGGGCCCTTCTAGAAGCTCCCTGCCTTCATAGCAGGCCGCCCCGCTCGTCCCCCACCAGCCCTCTGCGCGCCGCCAGTCGTGGCCGGGAAGCGCATCCCCATGCACGGCCTCGCAGTCCGGACTTCCCGGCCGCGAGCCCGCGCGGATCGTATCTATCGGAGCGCGTCTCCACGGGACGACGCGCTGGCATCCGGATCGCAGGGGCACGGACCCTGAGATCCGACGTCACGGAAAGTTGCAACATCGTCAATATCACGACCAGAGCGAGCCCTAGACCCCGTGTTTCGGCGTCATGTTTCGATCCGGATCGATCCGTGAGGGTTCCGGGCCCGAAACAAAGCAAACTCGTCCGTTGCGTAGAACATCGCGGTGCCAGGATCTCAGGGCACGCCTCGGTATCCAGATCGCGAGGGTACCGGCATGGACGTGTCCGTCACTCGTGGGGTCGCCCTCGCCGCCCCCCACGCGCAGGACGCGGGCCTGGCGCAGCAGCTGCAGCGGGGCCCCGCGGAGCAGGGCGATGCTGCCCCCAGGCCCAGCTTTGGCCAGCCGGCGGACTCCGAGGGAGGATCGCGGCGGCCCGAGGGGGTCGGCGGCGCGCCGCGCCCTGAGAGCCGGCGTTGCAACAAAACTAGCAGCGAATTCGCAGCACATCACAACCGGAGCCCTGGACCCCATCCCCCCCCAATTCCAATATTTTCATACATTTTCCTCGGGAGTCGACAATTCATTGTGTCTGTCATCTCTTCCTGCGTCCTCTTCCGAGCCACATCGATCTGTGCGGGTCCCTGGGCCCGAAGGTGAGCGAGAGCACGCCCCGGTGTGCAAAAAGTGCAAGGCCAGCATCTCGGGGAGGGGGGGACGCGCGAGGGGGGGCGGGCCTTCCCAGGAGGAGGAGGAGGAGGGTCGGTGGATTTTGTCTCTGACTCCCATGGGTAAGGTATCAATGGGCCTCCGTATTTTGAGCTGATTCTTGTGTGCATTGTGAAGCTATTGTTGCACTGCTCGCTGCATTCTGCACAGTGCCTTGCTGTCCTTTTGCACTGCCAGTAGAAAACATATTGACCCACAAGGGATCGGCGGAGGCTTCAGAAGGGGAAAAACACAGACACAATCCATCGTCGATTCCCCAGAACATACGGGGAAGTATGGAAAGTGGGGGGGAAGACGAAAACCCCGAAGATATGGGAAAATATGGGGGATCCTGGGATCTGTGTGTATTTCTTTGCGTGTTTGTGGGCCCCTTCAAGATTGTGCTTGGCACCCCGGCGAGGGGTGCGGCAGCCGCCGGGCGAGGGCCCGACGCGCACCCGTAGAGCGACGCCTTTTTTTACCCTATCTGTTGGCGCGTGGCGGCGTCCGCGCTCGGGCGCCAGCCGTGGCAGCAGGCTGTCCAGCACGCGCCTGGCGTCCTGCATCCTGCCCTTCCTGACGGGCCTGTTTTCCACCACAACCATCACCATGAGTTGGAGAGGGGAAGGAGGAGGAGGAGGAGGAGGAGGAGGAGGAGGAGGAGGAGGAGGAGAGAGGAGGAGGAGGAGGAGGAGGAGGAGGAGGGAGGAGGAGGAGGAGGAAGGAGGAGGAGGAGGAGGAGGAGGAGGAGGAGGAGGAGGAGGAGGAGGAGGAGGAGGAGGAGGAGGAGGAGGAGGAGGAGGAGGAGGAGGAGGAAGAGGAGGAGGAGAGAGGAGGAGAGAGGAGGAGGAGGAGGAGGAGGAGGAGGAGGAGGAGGAGGAGGAGGCGGAGGAGGAGGAGGGGAGGAGGAGGAGGAGGAGAGGAGGAGGAGGAGGAGGAGGAGGAGGAGGAGGAGGAGGAGGAGGAGGAGGAGGAGGAGAGGAAGGAGGAGGAGGAGGAGGAGGAGGAGGAGGAGGAGGAGGAGGAGGAGGAGGAGGAGGAGGAGGAGGGGAGGAGGAGGAGGGGAGGTGAGGAGGAGGAGGAGGAGGAGGAGGAGGAGGAGGAGGAGGAGGAGGAGGAGGAGGAGGAGGAAAGAGAGGAGGAGGAGGAGGAGGAGGAGGAGGAGGAGGAGGAAGAGGAGGAGGAAGAGGAGGACCCCCTCCCCCTCCAACTTATGGCGGTGGTGGTGGTGGTGGTGGTGGAAAACAAGCCCATCGCGTTGCTTGCACAGGCTGCACTGGTCCAGGTGATGAAGAGGCGGTTGTCCCTAGAAGCCACGGCAGGTTCGTGTCGTGCCGGCCAGCAGCGAACCCACCGGTGGCGTTCAATTTTGAATGCCGCGGGCGACCCAGAATCGTTTGACGTGGAACGACTTGGGCGTTTCGGAAACGGCCGATCGTTTAAGGTTGAACGATCCCCGCGGTGTCAGAAACCAGCGCCGAGGTCGGCACGACACGAAGCTGGCGCACCGACGCCATGCCAGACAGCACCCGACACGCCGGCACGCCCGCGTGCCCGCAGGGTGGCGCACATCCTCTGCCGCCCCGGCCAGGAGCGGCGGCGCCCCGCACGGAGCCGCCGCCGTCCATCCCGGACAGCCTCTGGCGCCGGCCGTCCTGGACGCCGCCCGCCGCGGCGGCCAACCACTCGGCGGCCCCGGTGGCCTCGGAAGCCGCAGGCCCAAGACGTCGCCGTCGTCGTCGTCGTCGCCGTCGTCGTCGCCGTCGTCGCCGTCGTCGCAGTCGTCGTCGTCGGCGACGTCGCCGTCGTCGTCGTCGTCGCCGTCGCCGTCGCCGTCTTCGTCGTCCTCCTCCTCGTCTGCCCCTCGAGGTGGAGGAGGAGGAGGAGGAGGAGGAGGAGGAGGAGGAGGAGGAAAGATGGGAGGAGGAGGAGGAGGAGGAGGAGGAAAGAGGGGGGGGAGGAGGAGGGGGAGGAGGAGGAGGAGGAGGAGGAGGAGGATGACGAAGAGGAGGAGGACGAGGATGAGGAGGAGGAGGAGGAGGAGGAGGAGGGGGAGGGGGAGGGGGAGGAGGAGGACCAGAGCAAAGCCAGGAGGCAGCAGCGATGCTGCCATGCGCCCGCTACAGAGAAGCCCTTCCCGCTCTCACTGCCAGAAGCGCGCCCCCCCTTGCAAGACGAGCGCTCTACGGGCCTGCTCTGCAGACGAGAGCTCCGTGCTGAGAAAAGGGACCGCCTTGCATCCTTCTGGCAAGCTGTAGGACATGCGACAGAGTTCGGCCACGCGCAGAAGGGGGGCAGGGCGAGGGGGGAAGGCTTCTTAGAATCACCGAAGGCGCGGGCCTTGTCTCTAGATGTTTAGGGGGGCGCCTTCTGAGAAGCAGCCTCCTTATAAGAAGCCTTCCCCCCTCCCCCTACCCCCTCGTGCGCGCCGCCGAAACGCAGGACCATAAAAGATCAGTGAGGTGTCCCAGGGAGAGCCCCGTTTCGAAAAGGGAGTCGCCCTCCACGCGGGTGGCAGCTGCGTGCGTTGTCAGGTCCTGGACTTCAGTCGGGCTTGTCCCTCTACATGGGGGGATATTCAATGATAGTACAAAGAATAGCCCGGGGACTTTTTGGGGGTTGATTCTGTTTTGACTCTTTGGGGGGTATTTGTTTTGACAATTTTTGATATTTTCGCCCAAAAACCGCCTGTAGGGGGACACGCCCGACCTAGTCCTTCCACTCGGGGTGGCAGCTGCCTGCATAGTCTTATGATGCTCCAACGTCCTATAGCCTTGATCACCAGAAAGAATTTCGAGCACCAAGAAAGCACCGAATCTGGAGGGTGTTCACGTGTCGGGCCCTGGGAGGCGATGCTCGTTCGACACGGTTTCGATATTTTTCTGGGTGCTCGAAATTCTTTCTGGGATATGGTCCTCAAGTGCGATGGGAGCAACATAGCCCGAGTCGTCGAGAGCGGCCCCCGTGCGGGCCGGAGACGACGAAGCGTTGGCAGTCGCGCTCTCCTCTGGCGCGGCGCCCTCAGGCCTGTGTCCCAGACCCCCGACGTAATGATGTTTTCATTACGTCGACCCCCAGAGGTCGACCCCTTCCCCATGACCGGCTTTGCATCCTAAGTACGATGGGAGCAACACAAGCATAGTCGAGGGCCTGGGGGAGGAGGAGGAGGAGGGAGGAGGAGGAGGAGAGGAGGAGGAGGAGGGGGGAGGAGGAGGAGAGGAGGAGGAGGAGAGCAGGAGAGCACAGGAGCATAGTCAGGCCCTGGACTTTGAGGGCCCCCCCTGGCGAGAGCCTGCTCCTCGAGAGGAGGAGCAGCCCTCTCCGCCCGTGCAGCCGTGGAGCATCTGTTCGGGCCTCTGGTCGGCAGATCCTCCTCCTCCTCCTCCTCTCCCTCCCTCCCCCTCCTCCCTCCTCCTCTCCTCTTCCTCCTCCTCCTCCTCCTCCTCCTCCTCCTCCTCCTCCTCCTCCTCTCAAGCCGTTCTGGTGCAAGGCCTCCTTTGGGGTGAGGCGGACCCACCAGACACCACACGCGCGTACCGCGCACGGGCGGGCGCCAGGCGCCCGCTACGTGCGCCCGCGGCTTGAGGGGCACCTTTCGGCGGCAAAAGTGGTGTGGTGCCGTGATTTCGTGTGCATGGGCAAGACGGGAAGCCAGAGGCGTGCATCACGCTCAGCTTCCAGACATGGTGGCAAGAAGCGCTATGAGTACTACGTTTGTGTGCATTGCCCTCGCTCTTGGGTGTATAAGTCTCGAGCTGGCCAGTCAGGTTGGGAAGGGTGTCATACATGCGGTGCCCCCTGGCCTGCCTGTCGCACTGGGGCTGCAGCAGGGCGATCCGTCTCCTTCAGTGTGGACGACACCCCGCTGGTGCAGCAGCTCATGCCCAAGTACAAGGCTGCGCGCGAGGCCAAGGACGCTGCCACGCTCCAGGCCTTGGAGCTGGTCTGTCCCGAGCTGGCCAAGGTCGCAGAGCCCATGCCCGCGCCAGCGATCCTCTTGGAGCAGGTTGCGAGGCAGCTGCGCCAGCTATACGGCCAGCAGAAGCAGCTTAAGGAGCATATCGTGGCCAACTCCAAGACGGGCAAGGGGCTCCTCCGCAGGCTCAACGAGAACATCAACAATTGCAATGCTGCGCAGGAGGAGGTGGATCGCTACTCAGCGCAGACGGGGACTCCAGGGTATCCAGCGGCCAGTTCGGGGAACGGCGGCCCAGCAGATGACACCGAGTTCCCCGCCCTCACGGACGAGGACCTCCAGCTCCACACCCCCGACCAGCAATAGTACTACAAGGACGCGGCCGCAGCGGCGCGGCAGGCCCAGGCCACCCTCCAGTCCGCCACCGACGCGGGCAAGCAGGCGAGAGAGGCGGCCGCCACGCTCCGCAACCTCGGCGAGCAGGTGGCCACGACCAAGCGGCGCAAGGCGGACACGGCCTGCGGAATGGCCCCAGGCGGCGGCGGCGCAGCCACTGCCGACGCCTCAGCCCAGCCGCCCGTGGACGCTGGCGGCCAGGACTTCAGCAACCCCGAGGTGGTCGAGGCGTACATCAAGGCCGCCGCCTCGCGCAGGACTGCCGTGGCGGGGGTCGCGGCCTCCAAGGCGCCGACGGCCTCACCAGCGGCGCCCGCGACGGCAACGGCGCCAGCTGCGGCAACGGGGGCGGCGAACCCAGGCAAGGGCGATGGCAAGGACGGCAAGGGCGGCAAGGACCAGGCGAAGGGGTAACACGGCTGTCGGAGGACGAGCCGCTCGTAGGAGCGAGGGCCGCCAGGAGCATAGGTCGGCCTCAGCCAGGACCCCTTTCGGCAAGAGGGACTTTGCATCGATTTTCTTCGGCAACGTCACCTCGTACTCTCTCAAGGTCAAGAAGTTCATCGAGTCGGCCGACCACGACGTGATCGGCCTCGCGGAGCACCACCTCTGCAAGGGCAAGTGCGACCAGGAGGAGAAGCGCCTCCGCAGTTTTGGCTGGCGTTCGGAAGGGGCTTGGACGCCAGCTTCTCCCTCTACCCGCTCGGACTCGGGCACCCGCGGCGGCGCTTGCTGGCTGAGGAGGGCCACCTACGCCACCAGCGTCCACCTGCAGGGCGCCAACCACCAGAGCGTGTTTCAGGACGCACTGCAGGACGTCTCAGTGGTGCTCTGGCGCTTCCAGGGGGCCACGTTCGCCTTCGTCGTGTGTTATCTGGATTGCTCCATTGGCCTCGTCGGGACCAACGCCAGGAAGATGGCCACAATCGCTCGGATTGTGAAGTCATTGGGGATTCCCTGGTGCTTGGTAGGCGATTTCAATGCCACTCCAGAAGAGCTGGCGCGCTCTGGCTGGCTACTCACCCTGAAGGCGTGGATCATGACACCAGAGGGGGTGAACATCACGTGTACGTCGGGCAAAGGTCGCATGCTGGACTACGTTGTCGTGCCCGACAGCTTCCGCCCCTTCCTCAAGAGGGTGATGCCCATCCAGAAGCTGCCGTGGGGCCCGCGCATCGGCCTCGACATCCTGGTCACCGCGAGGCCTGCCGCTGTGATGCTACGCGCACCTGTGCGACCAGTATCTCTAGAAGTGCCTGCAGGGGAAGTTCACGTGCCCAAGGGGATCAAGCGCTGTCAACGCGACAGGCAGCGGCATGCAGAACTGCAGCAGGCCAAGGAGGACTGCGACCGGATGCAGGAGGTGACCTGCTGAACGACGACGAGGAGCACCTCCTCGATGACACCTACACCCAGTGGCGGCCCCATCAGTGCAACGACCACGTCTGCGCGCCCTGGGAGGAGTACGTCACCGAGGCTCAGGAGCGCGTTGGCACTCGCATCCCAGCGTGCGAGGAGGCCCAGGCTAGCATCGCGTACCAGATGGACCCCCACATGGCGCAGGCGATGGCGGTGCAGTGTGGATGCTGGGCCGAGGCGGCGGAGGCGCAGCTGGCAGAGCTCTGCGGCACCGAGCCCCGCGACAGAGCCCGACGCGGTCAACCTGTCAAGTACCAATGGCGCAAAGCTCAGGAGCAGGCGGCAGACTCGCAGTTCGGCCACGCCTGTGTGCAGGACATCGGCGGCAAGTGGGCCAGCCTTCACGCCAGGGTGCAGGAACAGCTCATCGCGCTAGGGCGCCACCGCCACGCCGAGTACCAGCGCAGGGTGCAGGATATCGTTTCCGACATCATCAGCGACATCAGGCTCCTCCTCACCGCCCAGGGGCCTGCGCCAGATGACCAGCTGCAGACCACTAAGGGGAAGTGGCGGATCTACCTGGACGCCGGCAGGGTTATAGGCACGGCGAGCGCATCCGCTACTCCAGGATTCTCCCCGAGTGGCAGGCCTTCGCACTGAAGGTACAGGCGAGAGCGGCTAGGCGCGCCAGCCTGGCATGGCAACAGACCCGCAGCGAGGTGCAAGCCTGGGCCAAGGCAAGTACCCTGGTCTCCATGCGAGGGGCCCATCGCTATCTTGAGAAGGACGAGGTGCAGGCCCTAGACGAGACCACACTGGAGAGGTCTGCGGCACGGTGCAGGCCTCCACAGAGGCCAGGGCACGCCGCTGGCGTGATCGCTGGACCAGCAAGCCCGACCGCGAGCCTGCCTTGCGCGAGGCGATGAGCGAGCTGCGGACCCTGGCCCGCGAGGCGCTGCGAGAGAGGCCCTACCACTCGAGAGACGACGTGGTGAGCGCCATCAGGACTTTCCCCAGGGCCACGGGCAAGGGCGCCGATCAGTGGACGCCTGGCCACCTTCTCGCGGTCTCCGACCAGGGGCATGAGGCCTTCGCCACCCTGCTCAGCATGGTGGAGCGAGCTCTGGCGTGGCCGCACTAGCTCCTCCACAACTGGTGCGTCCTCCTACCGAAGGGCGCCGAGCAGGTGGTCGGCAACGAGAGGGGTATCGGCCTCCTTCTCTTGCCCGTGCGCATCTGGGGCCGCATGGCCAAGGCCGCCATGACGCAGTGGTGCGACAAGCGAGCTGGACACTGGGATGCTGCGGTGCGCGGGAGCTCCGCGCTGCAGGCTGCGTTGCTCGCCGTGGTGCTCGACGAGACCAGAGCGCACGTGGGCGTGGCCGAGCAGAGCAACTTTCTGATGGACGTGGAGTTCTACGACTACATCGACCTGGCCTTGATGATCCACAAGGGCATCTCCCTCGAAGTGCCGCCCGTCGAGCTCTACCTGTGCTGCCTCACATGCCTGGCGCCGCGTGTGGTCAAGTCTCACGGGGCATGCAGTTCGACCATCGTCCCCAACTGCTCAATCCTCCCTGGCTGCGGGAAGGCCAACCACTGGGCAAGAGCCTTCATCTGCCACCTGCTGGATGCGGCCCACGCGAGATCACCCGTGGCAAGGGTGAGGCAGTATGTTGGCGACGTGCGCAGCCGTATCGAGGGCGCGGCCGAGGAGGTCCTCGACCATGCCAAGGACGTCGCGGTCACCCTAGTGCAGGGCTGCCTCGACCTTGGCCTGCGCGTTTCGCCCAAGTCCATCCTGATGATGGCGAGGCCCAGAGACGAGAAGGCGGTGCTGACCCACGTGTACCAGGAGACATGGCATACGCGTGCAGAGGGCGTCCACGGCGAAGGACCCCGGCATCGACTGCACCATGGGTTCCAGGCGAAGCAACAAGGCGGCCAGAATTCGGATGACGGCAGCGAGGGCGAGGGCTACGCGAGCTTGTCTATTTCGCAGGTTGGGACGCGGCAACAAGAGGACCAAGGGAGTCATGCTGCACAACACCAACATCAGGGCTAAGTACCAGTTCGCCGACCCGATCATTGAAGTGCCTCCTACGACGACAACGTGGCGACGGGCACAGGCCGCGGACCTCGCGGGCCACATGGCGGGGGGACGATGCACCTCTACCACCCTCCTGCTGCACTATCAGGACGACGAGCCCAAGATGGCGGCCTTGGCACAGCAGGTGAAGGAGTGGTTCTACTCCTGGGCGCGCCACTCGGAGCTGCGAGACCGAGTTCGACTTGGATGGCGGGCGGTACTCAAGGGGCTCCGGTACTTGCGACCTCGTGCTCGGTGGAAGTGCGTCACGGGGCCCATGGGCGCGATCATCTTGGCACTACGCGACATCGGCTGGATACCTCGGGCGCCTGACGTCTGGATCGACGACGAGGGCTCCGAGTGGCGGCACCTCGGCAATGAGGACGACAGCGTGCAGGACCTAGTGTAGGCGATCAAGAGCACCGTCACGCGCCAGCTGTGGCGCCAGGCTGGGGGCCACCCCCTCGGAGCGGGCCTCGGTGACGGCGGCGACCTCCATATGCTGCGGGTCAACCTGAGGAGGATGCGCCGCCAGGAGCGCCACAAGGAGGCAGGCGCTCTGGAGGCTGGAGCGCTGGCGGGCATCTGGGCGGGTGCAAGGGCGCAAGCGGCGGGCTACCAGTGTTCCGACGAATGTGAACGCTGTGGCGAGGGCAAGGACACCATCGAGCACTGGCTGTACTTCTGCGAGGCCACCTGCGAGATGGGGGGCCCCTGGATCGTGCGCACTGAAGGCCCCCGTCAGCATGCGATAGAAGATCTGTTGGAAAATCGTCACGTTGCACACTGGGCCAGGGGGATAGTTCCCCCTGAGTGGGTTGCCGTGCCGCCGCCGCCCGCCTGGAACTCTGGAGAGAGGTTGGGCGTTTGGGCAATCGGCGCCCTCCCCCCGATCTTCGACTACTCTTCGAGCGATGTCCTCCCCTCCTCCACTCCCGCCCTCACGAATGGAGCTTCATTCAATGTAGGAGCAGGTGGATACCTCATCCGCGCACGTCTGGCATTCCTGGACGGGTCGGCCACTTCCAGCGATGCCCGTGTCTGCCGCGTGGGGTGGGGTGTCTACTTTGTGTGTGTGTGGGGGGGGGGGGGGGGGGGGCGGAGCTGGAAGCGGGCGACTGCGAGTTGTCTGGTTTCTTCGGAACCGTCGACGGGGACCAGACGGTCCCCGTCGCGGAGCTGGCTGCCCTCTGGAGGGCGCTGCAGCTCTCCACGGGGGACCTGGACATTTTCACCGACTGACAGCTGGTCTTTAACGGCTGGGTCCGAGGGAATGCCCAGCATCCCAGGGCTGCCACGCCAATTGGTGGACCCGAATTCGGTCGGCCCTCGAGCAGCGGGGGGGCCAGAATGTCCGCCTGCAGAAAATCTTCTCGCACTTGGATGCAGATTCCCACGTGCGCGCTGGCCAGGACCCTCGTTGCTCCCGTGGCAATGAGCTCGCGGATGCCCTGGCCCAGCGGGGGGCCGAGTCTGCCGCCTGCCCTCGTGGCCGACGCTCGTGCGACCCTCGTGGACCAGCGCATCGGTGCGGTCCTGGCCCCGATCTGTGCGGAGGTCGAACGGGGGGCTCGCTCGAATCGGCTCGGCGGGGCGGACGGTTCGGTCAGATCCGCTTCGGGCCTGGGGCGAATTGAGGAGCTCGGGGCCCGATCGGGACATGCCCTGTCCCGCCTGGGCACTGGTAGGTGGGCCTGTAGGAAATGCCGACAAACACCAGGGCGCCTCTCGTTGGCCGACTGGCTCCAGTGCAGTGCGTGTCGCGGGGATGTATGTAAGAGGGGCTTGAGCGAGCAGGGCCACCACGTCCACGTCCCCCCCACCTGTATCCGAGAGTTGAAGGTTGGGGCCCGCAGTGTGCACCCCTCCCACTCTATTGCCATGCAGAATGGTCTGGCCTGGTGCTGGAGGTGCGCCAGGTACGCCCCCATTGTCGCTTGGGGGGGGGGGGCGTCTCTGTAAATTGGCCCAGGAGTGCCCCCAGGAGCGCACCCCCTCTGGCCAAACTATGATCAATCGTCTCCGTCACGGCCTCACCCCGAAGGCGGGGACGGTGTGGCCCGTACCCCCTGTGGGGGGTGGCGGATCTGCTCCCTTGCCAGTGGTCGGCAGCTCGGCCAAGGATTTTGGGAGGAGGACCGACGGGAGTGTAGGCGGCTCGCTCAAAGCCCCCCCCCGTCGACGTATATCATAACCTCTCATCAGATTATCAGTAATCTGCACGTGGGGGGGCGTAGCACCGCTCCGACCCCCTCTTGTTCGAGCTTCCCGAGCTTCCTCCTCCTCCTCCTCCTCCTCCTCCTCCTCCTCCTCATCCTCCTCCTCCCCCTTTTCCTCTTCCTCCTCCTCCTCCTCGTCCTCCTCCTCCCCCTTCTCCCCCTCCTCCTCCTCCTCCTCCTCCTCCTCCTCCTCCTCCTCCTCCTCCTTTTCCTCCTCCTTCCCCCCTTCCCCTCCATCCCCTCCTCCTCCTCCTCCTCCTCCTCCTCCTCCTCCTCCACCTCCTCCTCCTCCTCCTCCTCCTCTCTCCTCCTCCTCCCCCCCCTCCTTTTCCCCTCCCGTGCAGCTGTTCATCCACCATGCAGTCACGCACGCTTTGTGCTCACACTCCGTCTGTCCATTCCTTTTCCCCCTGTCCCTGCGTGTTCCTTTGGCCGCTGCATTCTCTCCGCCTTGTCTCCACGTTGCACTCGTGAGCGATCCTATCTAGCCCCTGCGAAGATCCAGCGAGAGCCCCATGTGGAAAACGTGTGGGCTTCCATCCATGGACGACGCAGGCCGCAGCCGAGCCTCACAAGTGGACCCACAGATCTCTCCTGCTAGGATCCTGACCTGCATGCAGGTTCTCTACAAGCAATTCGCATGCAGGCGAGACCAAGAACACGATGGGTTGATGATATGCGTAGACACGTGCAGCAGCCTCTGGGCAGTACCACTGAATACGATGCTTGGTTCGACTTGCAAAAAAACAGTTCCACCGTAAAGTGAACTCGAGGCTGGTGGTTTTGCCCATCCTGCGTGTACCTGTTAGCCCCACTTCCCTCAGCCGCGTTCGGGCGTTCCGGCTCCACCCCGCTTAGTCCCCTCGCGTGGACACTCTTGAGGGCAGCGTCGGCGTCAGCGTTACCGGCCTTCATCCTCGAACAGGCTGCAGCATGTTAAGAAGAATATGCGCGGCGCTAGGGCGAGAGCCCCACTATGAACAAGTACGGCCCTCCATCCTTGTGGCTGTTGCAACATTTCAAGACGAATGTGCGCGCCACAGGCGAGAGTCCTATTTTGTAAGCGCACCTCCCTCAAGCTCTGTAGCTCTAGCAACACTTTACGATACATGTGCGCGCCGCTAAGGCGAGGGGCCCATTTTGAAAACGCTCCGCCCTACATCCTTGAAGCTGCTGGGATATTTCAAGACGAACGAGCGCGGCGCTGAGGCGAGGGCGCCGTTTTTAACAGGATCCTCCCTGCACCCTTGCAGTTGACCGTGCGTGTTGTTCCCGTGGTCGCCTCGCCGCGGCCAGGTGCATGTTTGAAAGCGCAGCTGTGCTCGATGCATCGCTGAACGGGGACTCGCCGCCTGTGAGGCCAGATGGGTCGGAGAGCGCGCCCCTGGCTTGCGCGCCCCCATGGCACGTCTGCGGCGCGAGAGGACACTCCGACTTGCTTCACAAGGTCGCCCCAGGCCCCGGTAGAGAGTCACGAGCGGGGCCGCTGCTTCCCCCCCTCGGCCTGTCCGCGGAGCAGGGCCAGTTGAGGCAACGGCAGCTCAGAATCGGTGCCGGGACCCCTCCAGGGGTGCAAACGCACCGGTTGTCCGAGCTCTGTCCAGCGGTGGCGGCGAGGCCCCCCTCCCCCCCGAAGGCCCACTGCGGCTGTCTCCGCGCGTCCGCCTCTGGCTTCCCCCCTCTCTGCCCCTGGCGTTCCTCTCCCTCCTCCTCCTGAGCCTTGGGCGCCGCACATCGTTTCTGCTCCACGCCCGGCGCCTCTGCTCCACGCCCGGCGCCCTCAAACCTTTTTACAGTACGACTCAAGGCTACGATGTGTCAGAGGCTCGGCGCCTCATGAGTGTTAGGACGTGAGGCCGTGGCTACGCCTTCCCAAGCGCCTGAACCAACGAACAATGGCATAAACATAAAAACTCGGAGGTCCGCGCCGATCCGAGGAATCCGCGCGGACCTCAGAGTTTTTCTGTTTACGTCATTGCTCGTTCCACTAAAAACTCTGGTGCTGTCTGCACAAGGTGTCTTCCCCAGGCCTCCTCCTTCTCCTCCTCCTCCTCCTTTTTGCCATGTGTTTCGCCCGTGCCTCCTCCTCCTCCTCCTCCTCCTCCTCCTCCTCCTCCTCCTCTTACGCCTCCTCCTCCTCCTCCCCCACCTCCTGTAGCCCTCCTTCCTCCTCCCCTCCCTCCACGGACGCGAAAGCACGAACACGCGACGATCCCGGCCTGCGCCCGCTTTCGCCCGGGCCTCGGGGGCGGACCCCCTCGCGGGCTGGCCCCACCTCGGCCCCCTCGGGAGGAGGAGGAGGAGGAGGAGGAGCAGGAGGAGGAGGAGGAGGAGGAGGAGGAGGAGGAGGGAGTAGGAGGAGGAGGAGGAGGAGGGGAAGGAGGAGAGGAGGAGGAGAGGAGGAGGAGGAGGAGGAGCCCAGGCCTCGGGGGCGGCCCCCTCGGGAGGGGTGCCGCGGCCCGGGAGCGCTCCAGAGCCGGGGCGCCCCGGCCGTCTCGCGGGCCGCCGCGCGGCCGTCTCGCGGGGCGTCGGCTCCCGGTCGAGCACTGCACAATTTGAAGTCGGGCCTGTCCCTCGACAGGGGGAATATTCATAAATATTCCAATAATAATCTGGGGACGATTTGTTGCATACATTGTTTGATGAATATTTGTATATTTAAGTCGGGCCTGTCCCTCTACAGAGGGAACGTCCAAAACTATTCCAACAATAATCTGGGGGAAAAAAATGCATATATTGTTTGAGGAACATTTGTGTATTTAAGTCGGGCCTGTCCCTCTACAGGGGATAATATCCAGAAATAGTGCAACAATAATCTGGGGACGCTCTTTTGCATGTTTTTGGGATATTAAGTCGGGCCTGTCCCTCTACAGGAGGAATTTAAAGAAATAGTCCCAAAATAATATGGGGACGATTTGTTCTACACTGTGTTCGAATATTTTGGGTGTAATATTGGCCTGTCCCTCTACAGGAGGAGCACTCAAAAATGCAAAAAAATAGTCTGGGGACGATTCGTTCCCACGATGTTTGCATGTTTGGGTGTATCTTTTTGGATAGTTTTCATTTGTCGCACCAAATCCGCCTGCAGGGGGACATGCCCGACCTGGCACTATGCAGGCGCCGAGGAGGAGGGCGAGGGCCGGGCGGCGGGCCGTTTCCGGGAGGTGCTCGCCTCGCATCGGGGGGGGACGTCCGGGCGTGGGGGGCTCTTCGCGCTCTCGGGCTCCGGGGGCCCTCGGCGGGCCCCGGGACTGTCCGTCGAAGAAGAAAAGAAGAAGAAGAAGAACAATAAGAAGAAGAAGAAGAAGAAGAAGAAGAAGAAGTTGAAGAAGAAGAAGAAGAAGAAGCAACGCTATAAACAGAAACTTTTTGCGCGCCGCGCGGATTTCTTGGCTCCGCGCTGGGCCCCCCTCGGCGGCGCCTCCGGCGCCGCCCCTGACGCGCTCCGCGCGCCGGGGAGGGGGTTCTGGCACGGATCCAAGAGATCCTCGCGGATCA